CCCCAGATGATAAGCCCAATCAGGCTTTGGAGCGCATGCACTAAAATAAGCCCTCCCCCCAAAAAATAAGCCCTCCCCGAAAATATTACAACACAGCAGCAGCCATGAGGTGACCATGCTCTCTGCCTCCTGCACCTCAAAAATAACCAGACCTCCCCCAAAATAAAGCCAACTGCTTATTTTGGAGGTCAAAAGAAAATAAAACCCTGTCTTATTTTGGGAAAAACACGGTAGCTTCTCTGGTGCTAATGCTTAGCTTAAAGAAATTGAGTCAAAACAATTGGAGAGATTCAAATTGGTTTTCTTAATTTGCTAACAGAAATGCAGTAATCATTAGGCTCCTAGCCAACAAAAGCTAAGAGCCCGGATGCTGGAGTACTCAAGTCATATAATGTGGCAGAGTAATTGAATAATTAATTTACAACTGCAGATAAAAGACACAGAGGACCGAAAGAAGGTGGAGGCCTCTAGTCTTACTTTTTAGCAGATCAATATTAGCTTTACAAAGACATAAACTCTACAGTTGTCGATGCATTGCTTATACGGGTAGCCCTCGACTCATAACCATGTTTAGCAGTCATTCAGAGTTACAGCAGCACTGGAAAAAATGAGTTTTGATGTCCTCACTCTTACAACTGTCGTAGCATTTCCACAGCCACATCGGAGGTGGTAGTCAATAGGTGTTGACCAGTTCTGGAGAACTGATAGCAGAAAATTTGAGTAGTTCGGAGAACCAGTAAATACTACTTCTGGCTGGCCCTGCCACCATCTATTCTCTGCCTCCCAAGTCCCAGCTGATCAAGAGGGAATGAGAATTTTGCAGTAACATTCCCCTGCCACGCCCACCAAACCATGCCCACCAAGCCACGCCATGCCATGCCCACCAAGCTACTCCCACCTAACCAGTAGTAAAAAAAATTGAATCCTACCACTGAGCCACATGATCAAAATTTGGGTGCTTGGCATGTAATTACAATGGTCCTGGACCATTTGCAACCTTCCCAGCTAGTTTCTGGGAAACTGGCTTTGCTTAACCTGTGCATGATTCACTTAATAGCTACAATAAGTTGTTTAGCAATCATGGCAAAAAAAATGTCATAAAATTGGGCACAACTCATTTAACAACCATCTTGCTTAGCAATGAAAATTCTGATCCCAATTGTGGTTGTTTCCCACTCTGAAACTCTGAATACCTGGAGATCCACAAATTTGCAAAATATTCCCATTTCCTTGAATGATTCTCCCTTTTTGTAAGTGAGGAAAAATCTTCAAAAACATATATCCTTAGAACGTTTCAGGAGAGGCAGCATCTGCTGGCAACTGAAAAGTGTCTCTTTAAACTCTGGATTTGTATGGGCATGTCTCAAATCTGAGAAGGCAACTCCAAATTTGCTCCAGTTTTTTTCCCATTTCTTTTTATGATGCATGAAATGTGGTGGCCACTTTGCTTGGTGTAGGATCAGTTTCAAAAGGAATGTAGCTCTAGAGAATGTGAGTCAGTGTGAAGCCCTCAATTACTGCAGCAGTAATGGAGCCAGCTGTCTTCCAGCAAGAGAAAGAGCTGAGAGGCATCAGTCCTGTTGTCTTCGATATTGGTTTTGTGTGCCGTGTGATACATCAGCACACATTAGCTTCTTGTTGTTCTGTCATCCTCTCTCAGATATTTCATGCATGGGGCAAATGTTGGAATGCATACAAAGCTGGGGTGGAATGCTACAGGTTCGGGCCAGTTTGCCTGAACTGGTAGTAAAAAAATGCTTTAAAAAGTTCCAATGATCGTGCATCACAGCTGATTGTCGCACAGCTGATAGTTGAAACTTTTTAAAACTTTATTTAGCATTTTTTTACTACCGGTTCACCCAAACCGGTAGTTAAAAAATGCTAAAACAAAAAAGTTTTTAAAAAGTTCCAACAATCACATGGCACAACTGATTATCAACCAGCTGACCATTGGAACTTTTTAAAAAACTTTTTAAAGCATTTTTTAACTACTGGTTTGCCTGAACCAGTAGTTAAAAATGCATTTTAAAAAGTTTTTTTTAAGTTCAACGATCAGCTGTGCAACAATCAGCTATGCCGCATGATTTACATTCGCCAGAAAGCAGGAAATCATGCTTTCTAGCAAATCTAAATCGTGAGGCACAGCTGTTCCCCCCTCGCTGTTCTACTTACCTTTGCAGACTCAGAAAAGGTTTCTTAGTGCCTGTGGTGCGCATGCGTGCAAAGCACATGTTTGGTGTGACTTCGCACGTGAAGCAAACTGGTAATAGACTTCAGTGCATTTCACCCCTGACCTAAAGCTTAATCAGAAGCTCTTAACTATTAAGGAAGTAGGCTCCTACCATAATGCCTAACTTTGGGACTGGAGAAGAGAAAGAGAATGGAAGAATACCCCAATGGTAGTCAAAACTGAAATGAGATTTTTTCCCCCTCCCAGTTCCAAAGTTTCTTTTCTGGAGTGAATCTGAGCACAATGAATTGAGAACAAAGAAGTAAGTCTTCCTCTTAAACGGACAACAGTAATAGCCAATGAAGAAAGAGTAACCCATAGAAAGACTGTGCACTTTTATAATGTTCTTAAGGGTGAAATATACATTGAAACTCACCATCATGAGACAAATAAGGCCCGCTTAGGATATTCCTCCCCACAATACCTTTGTGAGCAGAAGTTTCTGTGAATCTACTTTGTTTCCTGAAAGAAAAAGAGGAATTTCAAGAAAAAACTTAAACTGCTTAAATAATACTGATGACATTCCTTCTAGGGCAATTCAAGCATTGCTAAGATACACAAGACAGTGAAAAGTGATAAAATAATTGCAGGGAGTTGATCAAAGCTGCAGAAAAATGGAAAGAGTAAGGCAAGGGAATCTGCATAATTATAAAGAAAGAAAAACAAATCCCATTGCACTAACTGCATGGTTCCAGGAAGCCATTGTTAAAGCATTTGAGCTGATCATCCAATGCATAATTAACAAGAAACTAATCTATTTTGATGAGAGTGCATTCTGAGATAAATCAAGCAGCTTTCAGAAAGCTTGTTCTAGGCCAGGCCTCTGACTTGACACTATTGTACCACATCCTATTTCTGTAAGACCTTTCCAGCTCTGGACCCTTCCAGTGGATTAATGCTAACCTGGAGAAGGGATGCATTATGGTTAAGTGTATGGTGTGGTAATAGCCTGAAAGTATTTACATGTGAAAATGTATGGATAGAGGTGATTGGGGTGTCTGCATGTGTGCCTAACTTTTTGTATTGCTCATTTAGTTCAGGGGTCGGCGACCTTAAGCACTCAAAGAGCCACAAAGGTCCTAACCGGTAGCCCCCCCATTCAAATCTGGAGCTGACCAGAAGTCCGGTTCCCCCACCATAGAGTCTCCTCCTAGTACAGCGTCTTTTTTCCTCTACGTGTCCTAACCGAAAGCCCTACCAACTGTGGTGCTGACCGGTGACAGGGAGCTGCAGCAGAGGGATGAAAGAGCCACATGCAGCTCCAGAACCAAGGGGTGCTGACTCCTGATTTAGTTTAAATGGACTTGTCCACTTTAGCTACACCCATTTTGAGAGAGCCTCTCAGAACCAAGGGCAGCTCCTCAGGTCACCAACCTTCACGTGAAACCCAAGAACATGTGAGAGACAACCAAGCAGAGCTGTGGAGTGAAGTTAAATGTGTCATCAGTTTAGAGTTGTTGCCACCAGAAACCCAAGTCCAGCCCCTCTTGACTTCCATTAACTCTTATCTAGCACCAGTTTAGTGCTGACTGTAACGAATCCAGATCCTTATATACATATTAGAATAAATCTTCCATGCTGCAATTTTACAAATGATCCTGATTCTTTGCACCTAACAGAATAACAGGGAACAATTCAGCCAGAGTTGAATTCTTTATTTGCAGACCTAATCTTTTATTACTGTTACTAATGGCTTTGCCCTGGGAGATTCTAGAGCAGCGATGTCCAACTCAAGGCCATGGAGTGCTTAGATCCGGCCCACTCTGGAAACAGCAAATGACTGGTCCGTTGTTCTTCTGCCAGTGAAAACAGGCTCCTGAACTCCATTTTTGGCTGCAATGGGCTGCTGCAATCCTCCCGAACTCTGTTTTTGCTGGCAGAAGGTTGTAGCAGACCATTGCAGCCAAAAAAAAAAGCTGAGAACCCATTTTCACTGACAGAGCATTCAGGCCACCACAGGCACCCCCGACACGAGTGATGTTGAGCTGGCCACGCCCATCCTCTGAGGTAAAAAACAATCCTGATGCAGCCCTCAATGAAATCGAATTTGACACCCCTGTCCTAGATAGTGGATTTTTAAAATATCTTTTCTTCTGTTTCTTATCCAGTTCAGGGCTGTACTGTCTCTTGTCTCCTTCCCCTCTCTAGACTGTGCTGTATCCTTCCTGAAAAACTACCATTTCACTTTAACCCAGTGGTGATATTCAGCCAGTTCCTACCTATTTTGGGAGAACCTGTCGTTAACTGTCTAATCAGTTGGGAGAACCAGTTGTTGGAAGAGATCTCCTTTTGTTTTTTCCCACTCTACAGGACTAATCCTGTAAGGAAGGCAGGAAGGAAACATTCTGGTATTGTTTCTAGCCTAATCTTGAATGCTCTGCTTATAGAAACTGCCTCTCTGGTTAACTCTTATTACATTTAACTCTTCGCTAAAGCGAAGCACCCATCGACGTGAGTAATGTTGAGTTGGCCATGCCCACATGGTCACATGACCCCTAAGCTCCACCTACCCAGCTGGTCATTCGGACAAAAAAGGGTTGTTAAATTATTTGAATCCCACCACTGCTGTAACCTATCCCTCTCCCACTCTCCCTTCCCCCCCAGGCACCATCTCTCACATCAACATTAGGTACCTGTAGCTTATCATAGGTGAACATGAACTTGCCAACACTATTTTAGCTTGTTAGACTCCAGATAGTTTGGTTTAGTAGTTTAAGGCACCAGGCTAGAAAGTAGGTGAGTGTGAGTTCTATATAAAAGTTTGCATCAGGCTAATTAGCAGAAGATAAAAGCATACTTACTACAGTATGAACAGTGTAGCCTCAAAATTAATTGGGTGAATAAGTAATTATTCTAATAATTAATTGAAACTCCTGCCTTGGGCAAGGGGTTGGACTAAATGACCTTCAAGGCCTCTTCCAGTCCTATGATTCTATATAATTTTTTAAATGGCTAATTTTGTGATAATGTGTGGTATTTGAAGGACATTTTCCTTGTTCCTTCATCCAAAAGAATCTAGGTAAAGGTAAATGTAAAGGTTCCCCTTGAACATACTGTATGTGCTAGTTGGTCCCNCCTAGCTAACCCCAGTTAAACCAACCTACCTACCTACCTTCCTTCCTTCCTTCCTTCCTTCCTTCCTTCCTTCCTTCTTTCCTTGAATTTGCTCAGCCAAGGATTTATTCTGCTTCCTACCTTCCCCTTTCAGCTAATGGTGCCAATGAGATTGTGCTTGCACGTATGAACATATAGCCAAGTCTAAACTCGAGTTAATAAGATATGACTGCTATGTTCATTCCATGTGCAATGAACCCAAGAAAGAAAAGTTGTCATTGAGTGTGGTGACCCTGTTCACGTTACACACTAAAGTAATGGCTGAGTTCCCACAAGATGCTGAAACACAAATTACAGAGTCCACCTCCATCAAACCGAGAAATGGAGTGAGATTCTGTCTTGACCTTCACAAGATGGAGAATTCTCCAATTAGATGATGCAGGGAGAATATTCTCTGTGTGGGGTGGAGAACCTAGCCCAGCTTGCTGTCTTCCAAATCAGTTAAGCATCAAGTAACCTGCAAATGTGTCAGACATCAATGTCCCAAAGGTACCTTTTCAAGAGTCCAGTTGCCTCTTGGAAAAAAAAAACACCTTTGGGACAATCATGACCTGGATGACTGAGAATCTCCATAGACTGTCAGGCATCAAGTAATCTTTTCAGAATTTCGCAAGGCAGGTTGAACACTAAGTTATGCATTAACATGCACTATATTAAGGAAAATGTGTATATGAAAGCATTATATAAAGGAAAAAATCCACTAAGCATGCATATATTAAAGAAAATTGACATAAATCATATTCATTTTTACATAGGTTAAAAAATGATGCAGAAACATAGAACAGTCATCTATCCTTACCTGTTATTACTATATATTTATGACCAGATATATAATCTTTAGACAGATTAAACCAACTTAATTTTCAAGAAAAGGGGTCAAAAAGGAACATGATAAATTTCATCTGGATAATATCATCATCGGAACAAAACTCTCCCTGTGTTTCTAAGGATTTTTGCTTTTACTCAAGATCTCATTTTAATTACAATGTAAGGTTCATCTCTTTAACACAAAATATCACTACAGGTAGTCCTTCGACTTACAACCATAATGGAACCTGGCCGTAAGCCGTAACAATTGTAAAACAATAAAACTATTGTAAAACAAAAAAGTCATGTGACCGACATGATTTTATGATTTTTTTGGTTGATGATCGTTAAGCAAATGCAATGGTCGCAAAATGATTGCCATGGTCATGGGTGTGGGTTTGCTGAAAGTGCCTGTTTTTAGCAAAACAGTTGTAAAATATAACCCTGTGACCATGGGATGATGCAAATGGCTATTAATGTGGCTATGTTGCAGAATAGAATAGAATGGAATANCTTAAAACCTGGCTGTCCCGACCGGCCTGGGGCTAAAGACCTTCACCGTAGCCGAATTGTATGAATGTTGTGCTTTTAATGATGTATTGTCCTATATGTAACTCGGTTTGTCTCCCCCTCCCTTTGAATTGTGAGCCACCCTGAGTCCCCTTGGGGAAAAGGGTGGCATACAAATATTAATAAATACTAAATACTAGCGTAATGGTAATTTCTGAGACCTATAAAGACATATGGTGGTTTAAACAATCAGATGCACACTCTTGTGTTAACAATGAAAGATCTACCACTTCCCTGGTTCCTAGAAAAACAGAAAGAATATGAAGAAATCTTACCCTCAAGGAGATGTGTTGGGTGTAGAAAGGAAATAGTTCAGTTCAGTGGTGAAATTCAATTTTTTTACTACCAGTTCCTTGGGCATGGCTTGGTGGGTATGGCAGAGGAAGGATACTGCAAAATCCCCATTCCCACCCCATTCTGGTGCCAGCCAGAGGTGGTTATTTGCCGATTCTCCAAATTACTCAAAATTTCTGCTACTGGTTCTCCAGAACCTGTCAGAACCTGCTGAATTTCACCCCCAGTTCAGTGGCTGGAATTCCATCCATCCCAACCCTTTCATCCCAGTAAATCTTGTTAAAGAGATTCAGTCAGATCATGCTGGGAAAAGTCTTACTTTCAATTTTAGGCAGATCCTGAAGAGCCCAAGAACCTGTCTGAAAGCAGCATGTAGCCCTGGTTTGTGGTGGTGGATGGATGAGAAGAAAGTGATGGTGCATACGATGCTGTAATTTGGCAGGCTGGTCCAGAAATCCTTTTGCCAGAACTTGTGCAGCTTATGAGTGAAGTCATGGTGAGGTGGGGGGGGGGGGAATCATGACTCATAAGTTGCTGATCCAAATGAGACCACGCCTGATATCTAGGCAGCTTCCAAAGAGATGTGACACAAGCACTGAAAGAAATGAGAGATAAGAAACAGCCGGGAGAAATAGGCCTGTTTTTTACTTTTACTTTGGATCAGGGCCATGCTCCCTCCTCAGAGAGTCAAAAGGAAGGGATTTTGAAATCCGAGGGAAGGGTGGGAGGGGAAATGAATATATTTTTCATCATGATTGGTGCTCCTCCTCTGATTCAAAATAGATGTCCTGCAAGTCAATATTTCCAGACATCTGAGATTAGCTGCTAGTCCTAAGATTGAAGCCCTTGGCCTGATGCCGTGTCTGCAGCCCACACAACCTAGGATTCAGGGTTAAGACTTTGCTCTCGGCAATTCTATCCAAAGACGGTGTGAAATGCCAAGAAACCTGGGATGCCATTTGAGAAACTCAACATTTCTCACATACTCATTGGTGAAAGGGTGGCTCAGTCAGGATTCTTCTCCAGGACCTGAAGGATGCAAGCTTTCTTCCCGGGATTTTTTTAGTTTGACCTAAAAACATGCTTGTTTGTTTTTCCCAGTTTGACATTCAGCAGCTGCACATCTACTGTGACCCAGCCATGGCAATGCATGAGGGATGTTGCGAGATCTCCGACAATGGGGTGAGTAATTGTTAAGGCTTTGCAAAGAAATGACACTTTTAATTATGGATGACTGGGAGGGTTGTGGAATGTTCTTGCCAATTTCCATGTTACCCTAGAATCTTCAGATGCTTATCTGCAAACATCTTCCTAGAGTATTATGTCTGGGTGTGCAAACATATCCACACCCATGCCCAAAAGTGTCTGGATGATTTGTCTAGGTTACACATCTATTGTTTGCAGTATAGCATGCTGCTATTTCATTCAACTACAAGGCCTGGGGTTAGTTTTCCTACAACTACTAGGTGCATGGGACCAGGAGTAGATCTGTCTTGATCTGTGGGCTTCCTACTGTAGATGTAGTAGATTAATATGGGAGATGGAATACTGACCAGATCACCTTCATCCAGCAAGGTTGTTCTCCAACTCTCATGTTCTCAACTTAATGTACAGGTAGTCCTCAACTTACGATCACAATTGAGCCCATTTCTGTTGCTAAGAGAGATATTGGTTAAATGAGCTTTGTCTCATTTTATGACTTTTCTTGCCACAGTTGTTAAGTGAATCATTGCAGTTGTTAAGTTAGGATTGTTAAGTGAATCTGTCTTTCCCATTGAGGTTGCTTGTCAGAAGGTTGCAAAAGGCGATCACATGACTCTGAGACACTGCAACTGTCATAAATATGAGTCGGTTGCCAAGTGCCTGAATTTTGATCATGTGACCATGGGGATGTTACGATAGTCACATGAACAATGGTCATAAGTTACTTTTTCCAGTGCCATTGAAACTTCAAATGGTTGGTAAATGAACCGTTGTAAGTCGAAGACTACCTATACAACCAAAATTTTCAATTAAATAGGGATTTGAATTTGTGGGCACACCATTGTATTCACTGTGGGCTTTAATGTGGACTGATTTATATTTTGAACTGCTGCCATTTTCAAAGTAGATCTCTGGATATTTGCAAAATTGCTATTCATCTTAGAATAGAATAGAATAGAATAAAATAAAATAAAATAAAATAGAATAGGGAATAGGGAATAGGGAATAGGGAATAGGGAATAGGGAATAGGGAATAGGGAATAGGGAATAGGGAATAAGGAATAGGGGAGGGCAGGGCAAG